GGGGGGGTTGGGGACACTTGGGAGGGTTTGGGGACACCTGGAGAGGTTTGGGGACACTTGGGGGGGTTGGGGACACTTGGGAGGGTTTGGGGACACCTGGAGAGGTTTGGGGACACTTGGGGGGGTTGGGGACACTTGGGAGGGTTTGGGGACACCTGGACTCGGGGGACACTGGGGATGTCAGGAAGGGTTTGGGGACACAGGAGATGTGGGGACACCTCAAGTTTGGGAACGTCTGGGGGGTTTGGGGGCACCTGGACTCTGGGGACACTGGGGACATCAGGACACTGGGGACACTGGGGACATCAGGGAGGGTTTGGGGACACGGGAGACATGAGGACACCTCAGGTTTGGAAACACCAGGGGGGTTTGGGGGCACCTGGGGGGTTTAGGGACACCTGGGGGGTTTGGGGACACCTGGACCCAGTGGACATGAGGGACACCAGGGAGGGTTTGGGGACGTGGGAGACGTGGGGACAGCTCAGGTTTAGGGACCCCTGGGGGGTTTGGGGACATCAGGACACTGGGGACATTGGGGACAGGGTGGTTTGGGGACGGAGGTCTGAGCCTTTTGAAAATTCAGGACTAACGTGGAACAGCACGGAAAACAAATCATTCCCCCCCATTCATCCGGAGTGAAACCTGTCTCCGTGTTTTGTTGGGAAGGAGCCTCTGGAAAGAGGCCAAGAGGACAGAGGAGGAGTTTGGGCTCCCCCTCGGGGTGTTGGAGCTCTCAGCACTTCCATGGAACTTCCCAGCCTTTCCATGGAACTTCCCAGCCTTTCCTTCCCCCTCTGTCAAGACACTCCAATAAATCCCATTTTATTTGGCTTTGATCCCCAGCTCCGACACGAAGGGTGGTGGGAGCAGCAGGAGCAGCAGGAGAGTCCCTTGGGAATTCTGCAGGATCTGGGAGCTGCTTCATCCCTGCTCTGCCCACCGAGGGCACCTTCCTGCTGTTCCCAAGGAAGGGACCAGCCCTGGGGCTGAGCCTCCTGCTCTGGAAGCTCCTCCTTGTCTCCTCCACGTGGGTTTGGGGTTTGTTGTGCTCCACACAGGAACTCCAGGAGAACAAGGAATCCTGGAACTCCAGGAGAAGGGAGGAATCCTGGAATTGGGTGGGAAAGGGAGTTAAAGATCGTCCCATCCCACCTTTCCATGGGCAGGGACATCTCCCACCATCCCAGGGGGATCCAACCTGGCCTTGGATGCTTCCAGGG